TACGTCAGTCATTCCACCTATAGTTTTAATAATAATAATAATAATAATAATAATAATGATAATAATAATAATAATAAACAAGTGAAAAAAATCTGGGTCCAAGAAGAGCTTAACGTTGTCCTTTTGCAGTACACTTGCATTGATGATTGCTAAATTGCTAAAATTTCGGACGCTGTAGTACGTCAACACGGGACATTACCGTTAAAAGTGTTGGTCGGTCGATGACAAACATTCTGTAAGCACTAAATCCTATAGGGTCTCCTGACAGCTTGGACATAAAGATCTGCAACTAGACAAAAAAGTAACATTCAGCCTTAAGCTGCGTTCGGGTCGCTTAAACCCAGTGCGAGATTCATGGATGTCGGGTTCTAGATTATAATAAGTTCACAGAGCACGTGTTCTAATCTACCCCCCCCCCCCCGCATACACACCTCGAGTGTTCATTCTCTCTTCTTGCAAACCGTCTGCTAATGAGGAGAAAGACTGAACTTTGTTAACCATGGTATGAACAAGCCGCATATACACTGTATCTGTGTAAAATGCTAATCGCTAAATAATGTTGGGCTGCCTTCGTTCAATCTATATTTCTTGTTGCATATGTTTATCACATGAAGGGAGATGCTAGAATACTATCAAATAAACCGTTAAGGCACAGTAAACGGAAGCATAATATAATCACTGATATAACCTGCTACAATATAATCAAACGACAACCTTAACAACCAACGGAATATGTTTTTGAAATATTAATTTGATAGTATGTTTCTGTGAATATGTTTGGAAATACCCATTCAGGTCAAATGAAACTGTAGTCTCTCTGTGCAGGCTTATGTACATGTACATTATTATTAAACAAGGATTTTTTGCCTGATGAACAAGAGAAACATTGGATGCTAATACCTTTATTAATGTCTTTTCCTTTTCAATCTTATTCAGTTCTATTGTTTGTAGTTCGTCAAGTGAAGCGTGTGCCTGAAAGAAAAAATTAATTAAAAAAACACTAAATGTAGATTTTTACATTCTGTGTACGCACTGTGAATTTAATGAACGTGCTTTATGAGATTTGGTGGGAACAGAGCGACTCTAAATAGAACCCATTAAAGTTCCCATTGAGGTCTAGCAAGGAGTTCTAGTTCTGTCAAAGGGGATTACACACTACGGGGTGGAGCCCATATGCCGGTTTCTCATTGAGTAATCTCCTTTTGTTAGAACTCCTTGCTTCAAGCAAGGGCCAGTCACATATATAAATAGGGGTGACATAACCACGGAGGACCCTGAATAATACGCGTCTTATATGTACTTAGGGCGTGCCTCAAAAGAAGTTGTTATTATATAATTTTCTCATTGTTTGGACGAAAACCATGTATCTAGACTCCCCTCCCCCCCTCAAAAAAAATAAAAAATAAAAAAAAATAAGGAAGCCAGTTTTCTTCTTTTTAAATAGCAACAAGACAAATGAATAGAAGCCGTATTTTGCTCGAATTTGTACTTGTACGAAGAAACAAGAAATTAAGACTGACACATTGAACGAAATGCAACCTATCAACTTACTGAATGAAACGTCCTTTTTAGTGTTAATTCATGTAGGAACAAAATTAATCTGTGATGAGCGTTTTACCGCAAAGCCATGTTCATTTATTAAGCTTACACTTATCTGTCATGATAACATTTTTAAAGACCGGCTTAAAATATGAATGGCCTACATTTAAAGGTTAATATCGAATCATAAAAATTCAATTTTCTCGAAAAAATGTAAACTTTTTCTGAAAGTCAAAACTTATGCAATCTAAGAAGGTACACAATGAACGATTTATATAAAAAAAGTTAATTTTCCAAGAAATTTCAACAATTTTCCCTAAATCACCAAGGTATACTTTATACAAGGTATACCGTTCACAAATATGCAACTCATACGGTCTTTTGAATTTTAATTATCTTCTAGTTTTTGAGTCTGTTCTTGTTACGGATATTCAGCCTGTTGAATTGCACTCTGGAATTGGAAATGTAGATCTCGAAAACGGGTTTATGGTTTGCAATTTTTTCAACAGTTTTGGTTAGGCCGTACAGTGTACCTTGGTAATAAAGGGTGAAATGCTGAAATTTCTAGTTTTCTTTTTTCATTAAGTTCTAACGCACAAAACACGCCTTAAAATGATATGACATATTATAACATACTTGTATATTCACGGACCCCCCTCCTACTGCAATGGTGGTCGCGTTGGCGACAGCGACTATCAACCACATAGAGACAGCCACCAAAGATTCAAACGCTGCTCCTCTTTGCACGAGGTCGATGAACATGTAGAGCAAGAGGCAGGTTCCCAACAAGTTCACTGCCATACTGGTTCCGATGAGAACCGTAAATGTGTCGTCGGCAGTTGCCATCAGTTTACAAATTTTGAGATGCCTGTTCATGTACACATCGACATCAAAATCATTTGAAGTTTCATTGAATTGCCGAACCGCTCTTTTGAGACTTCGGTTAAAGTCTCGATACATCGAATGTATTACCGTTGCAACAGCATAGCATGCTACAATCGGGAACACCCAATCTATGCATAAAAATGTAAAAATTATTGATCGAAACACTCTCAGAAGGACGTTTACTGCTGGGTGACTTGTATTTACAAACGAGTGGAAAGGTGCAAATAGCATTTCCAAACTATACAAAGCCCCTGTCGGATCCCATGTACTGTAAACATTGTAAGGCACACTCAGTAGAAAAATTGCCCACCCAATCATAGTGTACACTGCCACTCGACGTTGCAAGTACTTTTTTGTCGAAAGTTCGGGAAACTCTTCATAGATGGCGTTCCAGTGACTAAAGAATGCCGAAAAAAACCGCTTTCTACAAGCTCTAAACATAACGACAGCATTCATTACACATAAGAAATGCCAGCTCATATAATTGATTTTTGTTATGATCAAGTGCTCTATATTTGGTGCTGAGAACATTGTAAAACGGAGTAAGAGATCGCTGAAAACAGTAGCCAAAACCCCAGCAGAGTACACCATTAAAACCGACAGCTTAGTACGCTCACGTCCTTTCAAATCCTCGTTCGTTTCGGGAGCAGNGTTCTGGAAACTCTTCATAGATGGCGTTCCAGTGACTAAAGAATGCCGAAAAAAACCGCTTTCTACAAGCTCTAAACATAACGACAGCATTCATTACACATAAGAAATGCCAGCTCATATAATTGATTTTTGTTATGATCAAGTGCTCTATATTTGGTGCTGAGAACATTGTAAAACGGAGTAAGAGATCGCTGAAAACAGTAGCCAAAACCCCAGCAGAGTACACCATTAAAACCGACAGCTTAGTACGCTCACGTCCTTTCAAATCCTCGTTCGTTTCGGGAGCAGCCACACGTCCGCCCTGGTCGTACCCGTAGTACAAGCCGAATATCTTCAAAGAAATGATGAGAGGCTTAAACACATTCTGTAAAGTGACGCCATTTCTGGTGATTCCTTTCTTTTTATGCGACGCGGAAGAAACATCCCAAACTGCTTTTGATTGTGGGATGTTTGGGTCAGTTATCACAGAGTTTCCGTCCATTGTCAGTGTAAACGTAGTGCCTGTTGCAGCACTTTTCCTTTGCCCGTTTGAAACCTGCGGATCGAGCCTTATTGCTCTTAATATATAAGAATCGAGGAGTATAGGGGAATGGATTACGATCTCTATGGCAATCTTCAGTAAATGTATTTTTGTTTAATCAAGGCTCCGACAGGATTACAATATTTGATTTGATTGTCCTGTTTCTATATACACACCATTTTTGAAAAAATCATTTTTGTGTGGACACCTTACTGATAATTCGTGATAACCAATGCCTTAACTGTGAAGTATATTTACAAATGGCTAATGGATAGTCTTTTCTTCAGAATAGATGCTTGATGTACGGCTCATAAAACTTAAATTTTACCAAACTCTTGTTGAATAGTGTTAAGCTGCGTGACAAAATGGTAATCGATTTTCGTTTTTTTCCGGTTAGGGTAGTTTATGCCCATTAGCAGGGTCCAGAAAGGAAGCAGTTGACAACGGAGAAACACGATCCAGCAATTTTGAAATATCAACTTAGGCCAACTATCTCGTGATGTTTATAAAGATACAACAGATACAATGAGAACCACACGCTCATTATATCCTATAAATATTGAGTAAACACAACTAATGGTTATTTGAGCTTTTTTGAAGTGGGTAATGTAAACTGGATTGTCCATGAATTATACTCAAGTTAACAGCACCTTTCGAGGAGGTAACCGCGTTGATCATATTTTTTAGAAAGAATCTGAATCAGCGGTCTGGCATCCTCTGGACACTGAACAACTCCATGGTTCAAGATTACAACTCCATGGTTCTAGATTTTTGTTTTATAACAGTATAGTGAAAAATATTTACACACACATTTATATTGCCACAATAATCAGTGCCAGTATCTTGTCACAGGACATATAGAACATATTACTATATGCATTTAAAATGGTCTCAAAAGAATCATAGTTCCCATTGGATCTGTGAATAGTCATATACAAAAGTATTCATTGTAAAGAGTTAAACGTATTGGGTAAGTCTTTCACATATTTTTGGCGACATTACCCCACCCCAACAAAAGGAAAAGGACAATATTGGATAACAGCGGAGAGGTCCTCACTCAATGATGCGCCATTACAGAGAGAGAATAATTCACTAACAGTCCTCAGCTGTGAACAAGTCTAGATGTTAACGAGACGAATATATATATATATATATATATATATATATATATATATATATATATATATATATATATATATATATATTGAAAACGTAACCATGGAAAACTCTGCGATAGGTAAACCATATAAATGTAAGGATCATTTTAGCAAAGAAATGCTTCTGCAGCTAAAAGAAAAAAAAACGTCAGAATTAGGGTCAAATGTGGCGCACGCTGGTCATTAAATAGCTTACGAATTAAAACAGACATTCTTTTACAGACACACTTATATAGTTTTCACACACATTTTTATTCCATAGAGGCAAAAGTGAACTTTACAAAGCTTCGTATTGCGGTCATTTCAATTGCCTTGAAAAATTGCCAGATTATAACAAAATGTAATAGTAACAGCAAAAATGCTTTACTTGGTCTTGGCCACTTTACCGTATAACGTTGACAAGATCTTTAAGTGTGATAAAAAAAATTAACAACATGTGTAGACATGTAAATAAGTTCTTTTCTAAATTTCAACAACATATTCAATCATTTTGCAAGGATGTCTTCTTTTCATGTGAAGAGATGTGGCTCTGATCATGAGCGGTGTTGGTCTAGTCCTTAACATCCACCATTTACTTCACATTCAGTCTCAGTCACTAAAGTAAAATGAAACTGGCAGTAAATTTAGAATGAAAATGCCACATTCTGTCACTTTCACTCATGACATAGCTTTAAGTAAAATTTCAGCAAAGTTTTTTGAATAAATAAATAAAAAGAACAATCCCAATCCCTTAACAAATTCTTCACATTTATTTCATCTTCGTATTAAATTAAAAAATTCGTTAGCGGGCAATGTCGTAACTTTAAACGCCACCGATGCTTGCAGTCAAGTTTTATGTACATGTGCAGTATTATATACTGTATGTGCAACTAACAGAATTGTGCTTTCAGGTTTGACTCACCACAGAGGCCATTGTTACAGGGGTTCTCCAAATGCATATTGGTGGGGCAAGCACTGCAAGGGACACCGCTGATGTAGGGCTTCTGTCCTTGGTAGTTACCGCTGGATTGAATATAGTGTTGAAGGTTCAATAAAAGTCCATCATGACATCAATTTCAATTTTTGACCAGTTACTACCCTGAACGTCTATGTACAAACTTGGTCACTGTCTTCCTCACCAAACAGAAATCTACCGAACTTGCCATTGGCCAAGATGATCTGGCACTAGCTAAGGGAAATCGTTATGGTCAAGAATACTAGTACATTAATTCTTGGCCACGCATATGCCACAGGAGACCCACTTTCAGACATGAATTCATGAATTATAAGGGCCTCCTTACTGGTAGATATTTTTAATGGTATCCTTTGAAGGCCAGGGTGATTAGCACTTACGCTGGGTAGTAGTTGCAAACAAGTATCCAGTAATACGGGAAATCCTCCCCACACGGAGACTGGTCACTCTGGCAAGCAGAGTAAGCGCACCCAAGTCTGAAGGAATTGGCCCAGGCAACCTGGAATAAAATACAAATAGGAGGACATTAAATACACAAGCGAGTGTCGGACCTTTATCTACCAAACATTTCTTCCCAGAAATTTCTTTTAGTTAATCATCAAGGTATACCATTTCCAAAGCTGTTTACCAAATTATGATCGACAAAAATCTTTTCAAATTTAAAGTTTTTGATTCACTATGATAGGTCTGGCATAGTTCACTCGTGACGATAATAATTAGTAATTTAAAGGTAAAATACGGTTTATAGGCCGTAGTTTTTTCATCGAGTTTCGGATAAGGTATACTTATGTGATAAAGTGTAAGTTGCTGACATTTCCATTTTTTCTTCATATTATGCAGTATATAGGTCTAGCGGGCATTGTATGATTCATGAATTCACTTTAATACACCCTGAAGGTAATTTCTCTGCCTTACTTTGTGCTTTTCACAGAGTAATCAATTTTAGCACATTTCTGATCCGTTACTGTTAAATATTTACGCTAGTAAAAACGTATGATACCATTACCATTACAACTGGAATTTGGTTAGAAACGAAAAATATTTAGTCTCTCTCTCTTATACTGGGTTCCCATACGTAGATCGATCCATCTGGATCGATCTAACTCCCTGGGAAGTCTCACTAAATTGCTGTCAACTTGGCCGGCTTAAATGTCTGTCACGCCTACCAAATCAGCCATGGGGTGAAGATAATTACCCCCTAGCTGATTTGGTAGACGTGACAGACATTTAAGCCGGCCAAGTTGACAGCAATTTAGTGAGACTCCCCGGGGAGATAGATCGATCCAAATATCTGTGGGAATGGCCCCTTACTTGAGTATAATGCCCACAGATGCGCTGAGATGCGCAGGTATTCGTATCATAGGTGTAGTCTTCCTTTTCACTAAACCAATACTCCACCGCTCTCCCAGTTAAGTTTGCAGGCTGGATGTTACTTGTGCTACAATAGACGTAAAGGTTTTGGCCAATCGCCTGGGTGTTAATGTCCGTGGAGCACGTGTCTATTAGACTGGAGTGACCGTGGGAGAAGAGGCATTGGTTAATGTATTCTTGGCCGTCACAGTCAGCGAGGTCGGAGTCCCACATCTAAAATATGAACAAACCGCTAGTAATACAGCTTCAACAAACGTGCCAGTAGGCAGTAAGATGTTGAGAAGATTGGGTAGCAAGTGCTTCTATCTTCGTCAAATGATTGCCTACTGCAATGTAAAATGCCTTGTGCTGGTCTTAGTAAGAGCTTTTATTTAACCAATTTACGTATAATTAATAAACGAATCCATTTCCATTCCAAAAAGAGCAGGACGAAATGAGATGAAAAAAAAACTGGATATTCATGACATGAGAATTTTAAATTAAACAGGTCGTTTTTAACATCCGTTTACCAAGTGTTATTTGACTATATTATGCAGTATATCAAAAGGGTTAATTTACATACCATCTGAAGCATGTTCTCAGCTGGAGGCTGCACCATTGTTCTGGCTTGATTGTGGTAGTTGAGGATATCCGTCTTCTCTGCCGCATTGAGCAAATTGGACGGGCACCCGCCACACGGCGACGTCAGGGATCTCTTTTCTCGTATTCCGGAGGAGGAGGAAGTGGACACTTAACCAGAACATTTCACACCATTTAATGATGGTATATCAACCTTATGGTATCATTAGCGTTTTAACATTGTTCAGAACGTTCACTAGTAAGTAGAGTAATGCCACAAAATTATTAGCTAAATCTATATATTCTAAGTTGTGTTTTGCCTCGGAAATTGAATATCATTAGGGGATAAAATTCCCCAAAAAGAGTGACTTAATGTGCACATTTGTATAGTATTTTCAACATTGTTTTATAAAACTAATCAATAAATGTTTATTTTCATAATGGGGGTACTTTGGTTTTATCATCGAAAATAGAGAGGCAAGCATGATTACCAAATATTACTGTAAGTGATGTATGCCTATGCGTCACTGATGTAACTCTAAATGTTCACTTTTTTGTTAACCATACACGTGGTCAGTAAATATGTGTAAAATGTAATAAAATAATAATAATAATAATAATAATAATAATAATACACTGTGTCACTGATACACTTATAGAGTCCAACACAAACCTGCATTTAATACCGTTATACCGATAATGACGAAAGTCAGAGCACCAGGCAGAGTCTTCTGTTTCTGAATAAAATTATTAGAAAAATATTAAAATGAAATATTTAATATAATTTATATACAAATTAAACCAAGAAAAATACATTGTTAACTTTTAGCTGTGACTTAACACTAAAGTAGTTAAAGGGGTAGGGTGTTATATTTTAACGACCTGTCCCGTACCCGTATAGGAAACAAATACCTGAAGAGGAATAGAAGATAATACGCTTACTTTGCCAAATGCACATATGTTCACGTCTTTGGTAATGTATTTTATGGTTTTATGATAGTTATGCTGTATTGTTCGTTGAATTTTATTATTGCGGACCAGGACCTTTGCCTCGAGGAGGGTAAGCGTTTTATTAACGAGCACCCTGGACTTCAGATTATTGATGCTATATTGTACCTTTTTCTCTGTGAACACTTTTCCTTAAACTGAGTGGCAACATATTTATGAAAATAGTGCCATCGGTACAAAGTAACCTAATGCCCTAACGAATTTTTTATAGTGTTTAGTGTTTGGGATTCTGTGGGATTCTATTAGATTTCTATCGGACGTCCCTAAGGATACTACTAGGGGTATATGTCTTAAAGAACCCTATAAGATACTTTAGGAAATCCAGTAGGACCCTATGGGGCGTAATAAGGGTAAATATGTGTTAGGGAGTAACGAGGAGAACTTATTTCATGGAAGCTGGCTAGCTCCTCTGCCAAATGGCAAAGGTTGGCAAGAGACGCAGACGAGCACTCAAACCGTCGCTAAGTTACACCGTAGCCCTATATTTACCATGCACATATTGTGACAATAGTCTCGAAAGCTCGATGCCCATTCTAACAATTTTCTTGACACCAAAGCAAATCAAACATTACGTGAATATGGTTCATACCTGCAGTTTCATGGCGATAAGTATTATTCGCAAAATATAAAAGATATGAAGATGAAATGGTTTTTTAATTATGAAAACTACTCTGTAAATGAGAATCTCAGAGTAGCAGAATGAAATTAAACAACAGTCATAAAACGGCTATGAATGTCAGTAAGGGTTGATCCTAAAATTAGCATGCCTGTGTAACTTCATCATTTAACAAAACTGATATATCTAGTAGGTACATGCATGTTTCTTACAAGACACGAATAAATTCTACTTGCAAAAAGGGACAGAAAGTACGCAGAAAATATCTGTGCAAATATTATGTTTTAGAAAATTGTATAACGATGTTCAGTGGAATTCCTTTAATTTACTCTGATATCATCTGATACCATATGGTGGAATTTGGTCGAGTTTAGCAGCAATAATCTGAGTACTCGCTTAATATGTATCTATGAGTAAGATAATATGAGGCACATACTTAAAGCGTTGTATAACATAAAATGAATCCATAATGTTTACGTCGTAATCAAACAGCAAAATTAAGCACCACCTACCTCCAGCATTGTCGCTTCTATGTCCTGTGCAAGAAAACGCACCTTAAAATGTTATACGGACGATCCTCTTTTTTTTACTGCAACAAGTGATAAAGGATATGCGCATGCCTGAATATATTAGTGATATTGTGTTTGGAATTAAGTAGCAGCGATGTTTTTGTATGTGAATAAAACGAATTTGATGTTAAATTAACACAGTTTTATTCACTATCTTTCAGCATTTTAAAAGTGTAATTTTTTTAGATATATAAGACAAGAGAAGTAATCTTTTTCCAGATAAAAATTTTAAAGAAAGTCAAAATTGAAAATAATTGCATAAAAAGATCAGGTAGTACTAGCCCGTGAAAGATTGCTATGGGAAGAAAGTCATGAAAGTTATTGTACAGGTTCATTTATCTGTCCCTATACGACACTCTCGTCTGTCTTTGTGTCTTTGGTAGAACTTTGCGTCGATATCTCCTCCGAAGATTTGTTATTTTGTTTTTCATTGGAGATGCAGTTCTTCCTTTGCTTTTCTTCTTGAATATCTATTGGTTTTTGTGTTGTTTCGTATATCTTTATAACTCTTACCATATTTCTTGTTTTCATAAATGTAAGAATCAAATACCCCAAGATAGCAATGCATATAATGACGGCTGCTATTACCAGCAGGACATAAAATGTATTTAAAATAATGTTTCTCACAGCTGCCACAAAAGGTTCGGTTTTAAACTTCAACTGATTTCTGTAGGTTGCTTTGTCATATTCTGAAACAAAAGTGAAGAAGTAAAGTTTGCTAGATGTAAATTTACAGGCAATTGTAAATTTTTATTAATTGATATACTCTCGTTGTTGTACATGTGTAAATTTGCGTCTGAGCTCACCTTGGTACGTTTTAGGCTCCACCTGGCGGAAGTTGCAGGGCAAAATATCTAATCTTAATGTCCTAATGTCAAATTGTACGTCACAGAAACCTTGTATTTCAGTGCGGTATACACAAAGTTCATCTCGGTATGATTTTATTTTTTCTGCCTGGAAAGACAAAGATCATTCAGACATGCTAATGTTGCCGTAGGTTTAAAGATAATTTCTTTATGGTAATTTTATTTTCAACAAAAAATAAGACGCTCTTTACTTTCGATCTCGTAAAATAAGTTGTATTAGACGCTTCAAATTTTCTTTCAAAACGTTTTATCAAACGCGTAAGACCTCCAGATGCACTTCAAAACCATCTATTCCTTCATACAAAATTCAAACTCACTTGTTCTCTATTAAACCTCTCCACAATATCGTGTATTCCAGAGAGCTCATTTCTCATGTGTTCCGTGTACGACTTCATTGACACATTATTGATGAAGTTGACGTTCTCGAAAATCTCCCAATTCGAATACTCTAGATTAAGATCCAGGCGAGCTGTCAGAAGGTCGTAAAACTGGAGCTCCTCCAGCACGTTCACTGTCATAAGCTGGTTGGCAGCCGTGATGATGAGGTAAACGCACAGACCAGCCACGGCGCCCAGGATCAACTTTGGAATTAACGTTGTTTGGAAAACCATGTAGCTTATCTTTTTCATCCCTTGAAGAAATGTGAGAAAGGCCAAAGAGATGTAGTGGAATATCAAAAATAGAACATGTGTCACCCGCTGTCTACCTGAGGCTGTAACACTGTTATCTTTCGTCTTGACAGACTTAGATTGGAAAATCTCAATCTTTTGTGCCAGTGCTTTGTTTTCTTCTATTTTTGCCTGTGTTTCACTCTCAACAACCCTTTCTTCAAAGCCTTTCAGTAGTTGGACCACAAATATGTACGTTCTGGTACTTCGAAATATCAGTAGAAGTACATCTAACAGGGCAAAAAACGCCATGAGAGCCTGGTAGATGAAACGTAACCCGGAGAGTTGCTTCAGTTGCTGCACTTCTTCACTAGACTCTCGAATACGTTCGAAAGTTTCCTGTTCTTCGTCTGCGCGTTCTATGTTAAATGCCGTTTTATTGTCGAATGATGAGACAAGTGACGAACTGCTTAATGTTTCGGTTTGCAAGGTTCCACCAGCCGTGTTATCACTGTGATCAACGATGTCTACCTCCGTGTAGGTGACATAGGTTCGCTGAGAGTCCGTTTCTCGGGGGAGTGATGCCTCGGTCTCTGATCCGTCAACACCGGGGCAAATTGTAGGAATACCGAAGTCTAACGTGGGAATATCGACATCGAAGTCTACACCAGGCACGTCTATACCCGGCCACGTTACGTTTGGGAAGTTGAAATCAGGAATGAAAGATGTTGCAGTGATTGGAAATTCTAAATCAAATCTGAAAAGAAAAATATTTTATCTATTCATATTTTGCCCGGCTCAATTTATATGTATTTGCTTACTCTATAATATCTAAAAAACATGCACGCGTCCCCAAATTAAAAAAACCGTATATTTCATCTTATATACATACCACATAGTTCATATCTGGGGAAAAATGGATGGGATAACTGTAAGATGAATAAATAACAGCATATATAGGGCTTTGAACCATACTTACTTTTTGAGAAGATTCACAGGAACGAACTCTATGTCTGGGACGGAATCAATGCCAAGAAAATCGATGAACCCGACATCTATTGGCGGAAAACTGAGTTCACCAGTTAACACTTTGACTGCTTGGATAAAAGTGTATAATCCTCGCGGGATAGCCAGCCAGCCATTGTTTCGTACTTGACGAAGCCATCCTTTGAACCTCCTGAATACGCGACCGATTTCTCCAACTACCTTGTCGTGGTACGTGGTATTAAATTGCTGAAGCAAAACCTGCAATTCTTCCAGTCGCCTCTCGACGAGTTCCCCAATTTGATGACTCACTATGGTGGATAAATTGAACATCTGCAAGCGATGGAACCTAATGATATTGCTCATGTTTTGTCGCATCTCCTTCATCAGTTCTTTCATATACGTGCTGCATGCCCTTTGCATATCAGTTGCCTGGTATTGTTGGCGGGCTATGTCCTGCTCACGATGGCGGTCCATACTCAGAGCAACGCCATCCATGGCTTTACCCTCCTGCTCAACAAACTCAACTAGACCGTTAAGCGTCTGGATATCATGGTGGTGTATAAGTGACAAGACGGCTAGAACCACAGTGAAGTTGAACACCAGGCTATATGCTATACGGAATATCGCTACCCAAACAATGAATATCAGATGTCTACCTTGAAGTTCGTTACTGTGAACGTATTCCATATCGGCTCTCTCTGCATCTTTCCCTGTTCTCCAGCGTGGTCTTTTGGCAATCGTCCCTTTGCTCTGAGGAACCTTCGGCTTTGTCACCTCGGCGTAAATAACGAGGCCAACAAGCGTCACTGCAGCAAACGCGGCTGTAGCTATTAAAGGCGTTAACGTTTTCCAAGGATCTTCTGGCGTTTTTAGCAATAATACTGCGTGTGATACCTCCCTTTCCTTACTCCTTTTAGAGTCAACATGTGCCAGGACAATTTGAAATGTATTGATGCCATCGAGAATATTGACAAAGAAAAGCCTGTCAGTTGGCTGTTTGTTAACGGAGACAGTAGGCAGACCAAATACCACTCTGAACTGCCTGGGACAGTTCACAATAGCATCGTACTTTATCAACTCTTTCTCGGATATCCCATCGATTATGATAAAGCCAACATACCCGGGGCACCCTGATAGCTCACCTGTAAACAATGATGTGCATAAACTTTGCAAATGGCATCTTCGTGCGTAAAACAACGTTTCTTTGAAAGAATGCAAAAAAGTAAAAGAATTGATAGCAAAAATAATTTCGAACTTAAAACACGTACCGGTTTCTTTTACAATATAATTTTTCTTAAGGTAGTTTATAGGGCGGGTTTACTAATGAAAATGTGCTTTATAAACAAATATCAAACATATAACCATCTCACTCATGGCAAACCTTCTATTGTGATCTCCCACATCCTTTTTGTTTTGCGGAAAACCAAATCTGCTTCAAGAGAATCATCATTTTGAATGCGTGCACTTGAATTACTGAAGAATGACCTCCACACACTTTCGTTTCCTGAAACAAGTAAAACATTTTGCGTTAGAAGTTTTGCTTTTCCCAATTGTTAAAGTCATGTTGAGATACGTTTCGGTTTGTTACAAGATCTTTAGCAGAGAGAGAGAGAGAGAGAGGGGAAGAGAGAGAGAGAGAGAGAGGGATTAATAATGTTCGTTTCTAGCAACATTCCAGTGTTGTAAACGTACATGTACGTCTTTGTCATATAGCATTACGAGCGACGGACAGAGAAAGGGAGAGAGCGTGGCGCTTAATTAGTATTCTCAAAGGAAAAAGAATTTTGTATAAAACGTGTCATTTGTAATGATATTCACCAGATACGTCAAATTTTAAAAGTGGATCACTGTCTCCCTTAAGGACGTAAGACTCCAATAACGGGACTGCGTCACGGAAAGAGACCGGTGTTCCGAGAGGAGAGTGTAAAGCTTGCTCGGGATATAACTTGGTTATGTCTAAATGGCATCCCTTGTCATGGTGACTCATGATTTCATGCCAATTGGCCGTGTTTATTGCAAATGGGGTTTCCACCTGCACGTTGGTTACGTACTGTCCGCTTGCGTGCGAAGGGTTTCTAATCCTAATCTTAGCTCTCTCCAATTTTCTGGGCGCATGCGCACTTAGTGTAAACTTTTCCCTATTTGATTTGCGCAATCCCCGTAATATAATGTTTCGTCCAGAAATGTCAATGAACGAATCGTGACTTATTGAAAGAAAATCGTTTTTGACTGTGTCTCTTCCGCTGTAATCCTCGGTTCCAAGAACTCTTCGGTCGAAATTTTCGTTCAAGTCAAGAGTAGCTCCGTCGAAGGAAACTTTATATGTGAAACTGTACAGCTCGCCAGGTGGTTTATAACTGAGAGAACAGCTGAACTGTTTTTTGATATCCATTAGGTAGGGGGTCAGAACAAATTCTGCAACGTCACCTGTGGATGCAGAATATGTTTTGCAATTATCATTTCTTAGAGACGCAATAAAAATGTATTTTAAAATAGCTTCTTTCAATTTATGATTGATCAAACGGAATTTTAAAAAATGCTTCAATGTTAAATTGTTTAAAAACATTTAAACGGTTACACGCTTTCGCGAGCCAATAGACTGCACTACTGCATCGATCTTAATTTTCGCATATCAATTTTAAAATGCCCACCTCAAGTCACATGTATGATATTCCAAGGAATGAGATTTATGTTAATTTATACAAAGTGTTACTCGCTAGCACATGAAAACTGTGACTACTGTGACTTAATTATTATTACGAATTCATAACTGTAAGGCGTAGAGTGAGGCTCACCTGTGGCACACTCTTTTGGTACTTTTACGCACTCGGGTAGGTAGGCATTCTTGCAGCTGTCTTGGTTATAGCATTCTAGTTTACAGCATGTGTTCCTGTCTACCCCTTAACAAAGCAATGGAAGACACATTTCTTGAAGTTACATTTCAGTTTTGCATCTAAGATTCTTCAACTGTCGACATAGTCATCTTTTGTAATATATATATATATATATATATATATATATATATATATATAAAGCTACTTCGGTTTCTTATTCCGATCATAACCAGATTCTTAAGAGGTTCGAAACTAAAATTGACAAAATGAACATTCTGAGAGTTACACTGTGCCAAAAGCAATTTTCGAAAAAAATACAGAAAAGTTTTTAAGCCTAGCGCTGTCACTAGGTAGAAAAAAGGAATTTTTATTGTACGGAATAAAATGCTTACGATGAAGTAAATTTGAATAATCGGCTGGGCAGCTTGTCGTGTCTTTATTATCTATGCACTGTTGGCATAACTTGAAGTTTCTCATGCATTTTTCGTTTGGAAACGATAGCTCGGCTTCTTCATTAATCTCTTGACCAAATACCTCAGTGAGAAGCGGGTTGTTGTCCACGCAGTAGGCAGTCCGGGGTTCAATGGCCAGCCCAGTGACGGCGTCTGGCTGCAGTGGAACACAATACAAAATGCATGATTAGCCAGCTGCACTGTCAAGGGGCGGTAAGCAATTTTTTCGAATCAGTCACGTGTTTGGAATAAGTTTCTACAACCAACGTACTCTTTTCAAAAATACCTGTATGGTCTATTAACTTACTTATGCTTGCATTATGATCCATCTGGATTTATACGCTATTACTTGCGAACATCCTGCTTTAACGTTCTAGCAGAAGAGACCAGCGCTAGTCCATTCCTCACTGTTTATTCTAAATTCCGCTCCCTCCCTCACACAAGACAAATGCAGTTGCCTACATGTACCTGTTTGTAACAAGGCTCATCCAAGGTCCTGTACGAGTAGGCATCTCCGTCCACGTAGGTTGGTGGACATCTTTTGAGATCATGGTTTTTTGAGTCGCAATATATTTTTCTTATTGCAGTCGTTCTATTCCTAAGCCAGCTTAAAGCAACTGTGTATCCATCCGGCATCGGTTGCCTAAAAACAAAGAAGACATAATTTATTGAATGACCAATTTCAATAAACTTAACCATAAAGGTTACACTCCATAGGAGTTTCGTTATTTAGTTAAAACAGCAGTGCGAAACTTTGGGAATGGATTAATCAAGGCAGTCCTGGTCCCACACATCAAATTTTGAACTGGCTTCTCCATGTCCTCTTAATCTTTGTACCTTATCCTACATGTTAGATTATAGACACCTAAAGCCCTTTCCACGTACCTGCAATAATTTTCCACAATCTCATTGAACGAATCAAGATCATGACCCGAGAGATTTGTGCGGAAATAAGCGTTATCGGACTGGCCGGGATGAGTTCCGGTAAACTCTGGAAACAGGTTTGCCGTTAGTAAAGTAAGCGTGACATTGACGCCAGTTCCTCGAGAACCGGTCAAGGTGATGTTTTGTAGTCCATTCTTTTTGAGACGAAAGTCAAAACGTAGTTGTTTCGATACGTGGAGATTTTCCACGAACATGTTGCTGGTCTGGTACACCAGTTTGTATTCACTGGGATCTGAAACAAAGTGGTTTTGTTACAGTGATATAAACATACCTCCGCGAGCAGAAGGGTGCATATACTTACACTTAATACTTCAGTGTGACTACAGCAACTCTATATTTTGGTTATGGTCAAAGAAATCTGACCACGCTATCCTAAGCAAACCTATCACTATCTTATTGCTGTACTAACCATAACCAACAGGAACGAATATTTGGTGGTGGATTAGACTAACACGGGCTTCGTTTATTAAGGGAATGTTAAGGTAGAAATTATCTAAAGTTTCTGTCGTATGCTATTACCTTCGACTTGCTGGTAGTGTTTATTCTTTTCAGGTGTAACCCTTGAAAGCGGACGAGAGGGATCTGAAATAGAACACTTAATTAAATAGTTTCATTATGTAGTCTTTTATTATTCACTTTTAAACCATCTATCCAGGTACATGTACATGTAGGTATAAGATTTAACCGTAGGTTATATTTATTTTCTATTTTGACTCAGGAGTAAGCTTTATTTATTCGAGGTATTGATAATCTCCATCCTTACTAACGTATGCAAAATCTGTTAATTTTCCCACTGCACTGATTAACTTCGTATTCGTCTTCTTCACATTTTCTGCACTCTAAATACATAAATTTATATATTAAAATGTATATACCACCAAACATAGTACACAAAATCACTTCGTTTTTCAAGTTGTTATTTTTTAATATTGAACAAATGGTTCACTAGAAATAATAAGAAAACAATTCATATATTTTTATTTTATTAAATTCACAATAGTTTTCTGTGACCAATTTACATTTTAACTTCATTGGAATCCTTTATTTATTTATTATTATTGTTTTTTTTTTTGAGGCATGCATATTTTGTGAACAATGTGGGTGTGGCATTTGCGGAAGTGAACCGAAAAATATCAAAGCACTTGCACTTGACCTTTGCACTGCAAATCTTGCTCATAACTGCACTGCTCACTCTCGTAATGGTCGTCTGGACAATTAGTTTGGCACTCTGAAAACAATTAATCAGCGTCAGCTATTATTCGTCAAGTAATTACCCTTGATATAGCATACGGCCACACAAGCCCCTGTATGTTAAAAGGGGTATTTAATTTGAAACCAATAAGTAAAATATTCAAACAAAATTTTGCCGTTTTGTACTACATTGTACTTACGTTCACAATGATAACCATTCCCAAAAGTCCCGTTTTTACACAAGCACTTGAAAGAACCATTCAGGTTGTTACACGTGGAGTGTTCAGGACAGTTGTTCAGAGAAGGAGAGATGCATTCGTCGATATCTAAATTGAATCATAAACAAACGTTGTCGTTTAAAATGTTAATGTTGATCCTTCATACTTATTAACAGATATGCCCTAACACAATTTACTTTCTTGGGCCACTTTTGTTGTGGCTGCAAGTGCTGGCTAATTGCATTTACAGCCTGGGCTTTTGTGAATAGACCTGGTAATATGACCGAGTACATAAATTAGTATTACATAGGATATTTGGTTACCCTCTACCAGGGCGGCAGATAAATTATGTGCACTTTTCTCTAACTATACCGTAAGAAAAAATGTCATGAATTAGCCAGAGACATTTCTGTGAATATTAAGTGAAAAAAATCAATCCGTGGCCCTGGTAGAGTGTACATCCGATGTGGTAGGCCCCTACCTAGGCAGGTGCTGTTGATTAATTCAAACCCTCTGGCGCATATGCACTGATTTTCACCCGGGTCACAAGAGACAAGGCTCTGGCTGCTGGAACTCGGGCACACACTCGTAGAGAGACAATACCGGTTAGGGGTAAAGTGTGCACTTCTTAAATCTGTAAAAGCAAAAGAAGTTTATCGGTTGGAAAATAGTGGTCACGCTTAGGGTATACTATGAACCGAGAAGGTTAATTTTTCACATTCCTAAGAACAGCAACGTATTTTACCTCGAACAACACTAAAAGTGTTCACAACCAAAATTCTGTCATTATTATTGATTTCGTTCGCACGAAGCGAGGTATCCAGCACAAGAAGCACAATAATTATACAGCTACCACAGTCTCTCTCTCTCTCTCAGATGTATTAAGTTCCCATACCAAACACTTTGACACTATCATTATGGGTCAGCTGGTCTGCTTCAACACGTGAGTACGTCCTTTTCTTGAAGTAAATCTCCACAGACACTGAAATATTGATTATAATTTAAACTTCACAATTATTATAAGTCGACATATTTTGCATCTCGTGGACTGACTAAAAAAGCATACCACCTTTGAAATGTAACAGAAACGGTTCGAAAAAATTGGAACACATCAATTCCTCATGACACAAGGTTTGCAACTAAAGAAGAAACACACATATGTACTGGTAGATAGATCGATACTGATAAATATGTAGATAGACAGATACCGGTTTCGTTTCGTAATAATTCTCTGGGTAAATAAATGGTCATCATCGCTCGCGGAAGGAACATGCACGCTGTCTGAGCCACAGTAACAAGTGTCAACACGGTAACAGTTGCCAGCATTAGTTTTTTAGCTGCCACTCCCCTGTGTTGAACGGTGGCCCCTCTAACGCTAGCGTTCAGTGTGACGTGGTCGACCCCAAGAGTGGAGATGGAATCGACTGGTGTAGCGTGACTGTGGCCTTCTACCAATCCCTTGGTTTTTGAGGCAGTCTGGATACCATTCCCCTGTGTGCGCTTTAGGACAAATGAACAAACACAAGGAGAAGTGGTCGTAATATCTTAATTAAGACGATCGTCACAATAAATTTTTTCAAAGGCGTCCATTAGAAAAGAAAGATGGTGAAAGAACTGTATCTATTGATAACAAGCTGTGCGTCTTATTGACCTTGTGCATCTATTGGCGTCGGTTATGAGTTTGTTATTTTTATTATATTAAAATATGAAAACAGTTGAATCTTTATGATACCTGAGTACACTCCTGCTCCTGGCTTGTCTCAAATGCTCTTCGCATTCGCTGTATTAGAGAGGTAGGCTCCAGTCGTTTTGGTTCTGTGAATACACAGACAGACATAGGATTAAACTTTAATACAGCATCAATAGTTTGATTATGATTTAAGGCTACCAGTAAGTAATTCTGATAAACTGTACCTGAATTTTTATAAATGATATTTGCTTCCGCAGACGCCAATGTGTGCGACTATACAGTTATTCACCTTTGAAGATAGGAATTTTGAATCTGTTTAACACATGTTTTCTAGAATCCAAAATAAGGTTTTCTTCAATTAAACAGTGTAGGGTTATTTTTGTAATACAAAATGCTTACCATAAACGTTTTCAGTTTTTGTAACTCGACGTCGGCGGTACATAATCACAATCGCTGTGCTTGCTGTCAGTATCACGGTCACACCAGAAGCAATCAGAAGTATCTCTACCGTGTTGAGGGTATTGTCATCATGTTTGGAGTCCTATAATGCAAATTTAGAATTTAGATTGATAACGAGTTGTTTATGTTTAAATCCATGAAACGTAGAACAGCCGTAGAAACAGGGTACATGCAAGACAGATGATTGATTGAAATGCATAGATATTCTCTGTGTTTTCGGAAATGTTTTTTAATACTTACGATCTGTATCATCATAATTTTTCTGCCTGTATCATTCTGAAGATCCTTCCACATCGTAATCCCATTGAGATCGGCATTCGTTTTTGCTTGAAATTCCAGAAAAACACGGATACTTTGGTTATCGCTATCTTTAAGCTTCACGCCGCCCTAGAATTGGACATGAACCGTCGATTTCATTACGTTTGTGTATTTTTACATTTTTATTTTTACTTATGACCTGTTTGTTGTCACTGTGTTTGCGCTCCGGTCCATAAATGTGTGACATAACACGTGCAGGTGCACGTACATGCGTGCTTGTGGAGTCATTCCACACTTATAGAGCGCACACACACACACACACACACACACACGGGTCCAGGGGACACAGTTTTTAACATATATACACATACTATCATAACCAAAAAAAAAAAAAGATTTAAGACAAAAAAAAAAAAAAAGAAATATATTGTCACGTGTATTCCCCCCCCCTTTATTTTGTATGATCTATGGTGTGTTGTTATGTTGCCTATTATGGTTTCAAACCGTGAGTAGATATGCTATTACTCATGCCGCCGTCTTCACCATCTGGCCACTGGGTAACAAATCATTTTTCGACCTCTCATTTCCCCACGACACAATCTGAACTGACTTAACTCACGTGTAAGTTATGCCTGATAACCAAGACATCAAGTAATTCCGGGTTTGGAATGCTGAATTCCTCTGTCCTGTGAAATGACGCAGCGTCACATGGCGTGTCGTGGTTCACTGACGTCGTGTTGTTCTTGGCACGTGCTATGCCGTACACAAGAAGAAGAACACATTGCAGCAGGAAGAACATCGAGGCGAAATTAAGTAAGCATCTGAAACAAATGCTGCGTTAATGTTTAAGCATGGTATTTTATAAGTAGTTATATCTACGGCAATTGTGCTGCAGTTTATTTAACTGAACTCACCTTAAAGGATTATACATGTAGAAGCTTATTCCCCAATGATAACACGGTCAGCAACAATGAATAATATATCGAACCCTGGATAAATATGACTGTGTCATTATCAAATTACCCCTCGTATTTAAATGCTATATCCGGATGACAAGATGTATTATAATCACATTACGTACTTGCTGTTATACATCTTCATCATACTATGTGTGTAGCATCACACTAAAAGCGAAAGATTTTGTTTCCGTAAAAATTTTAAGCAAAATACAACAAAAACGGAAACAAACAAACAAACACGAAAATTGAAATCAAACGAAAAAGTATTTAACACAATTCTGCAAATCAACAAAAAATCGTTAAGATAAATGTTTGGTATTTCGTCACAGAATTACTTAAAAAAATTAACACTAATCACACCCTTACCAGAAAGTTCACCAGTAACCTGTAGCCTTCCCAGTGTGCTGCCTACTAGTCTAAAATGAATGGTACGTCTTATCAAATCTACCCTGAAACAATGGACTCACTGGAACAAGAAGATAACGTTGTAAAATGAAAGCAAGCAAGTTCCACGGCGTCTGCTCTTTATTACTTTCTGCTGCCGAACTTTGCTACTTACGCCTTTTTTTTCTTATAAACGTCATGAACTGACTCAGCAAAAAATTCAATGAAATGTTCATTGAAAGTGATAAGCCGGACGTAGCACAATTCAGTCGTCGCAATTCGAGGATGAGGTACAGTGTATCAGGTAAGGGTGCAGAATCTGTGTGCTTTTATCTCGGCGCCAGTGCGTGTGTGTGTGTGTGTGTGTGCTCGGCTCAAGTGTAGGTTGCAAAGGAGCCGTGCGATGAAATCGTATGCGATTTTCCGTGCGATTTTTTTTTCATCGAAAGTGTCTTCGGACTACAGTGAGTATGTTTACATTATTCATGAGAGCAGAGTATTTCATCCAAATTATCTTGAACTCAGGTCGGGAAAACCCGATCTGTTTATTGAACAGTGACCATACGATTCAATTTCAATGCACCCGTGATTTCTTTGCTGTATTCTCAGTGCAAGTTCACCAAAGAATTTAATACCGAACGATAATTGTGCAATGTCACCGCTTGCCCCCACACGGAAGTCGCACGAAAAGTGACAGTGGGGCAGTATTATACGGACGTACGGACATCGTGCGTTAATCGCATTACTTTCTCTACAAAATTTATTGTGCATCTCTTCTGTCAAAATTATGTACATAAATAAACATTTTACACACGAAACTGACTTCTTGCACCAAATGGAGCTTTCATGTGTTATTAGTTTTAGCCAGGTGGTCACAAAGTGTTAAAAAATACGCTTTCCCAAGTTATCGGCCTCCCTTCAGAAGTGCTTGAACCCCTAAGTAATCTATGATGAGATAAAATGTTGTCTGTTCTTTCCAGTCCTTTTTGTTTTATTTTCATTTATTTAATTTATTTCGCAATTAATTTACATATTCTGTCTAAACACATTTACTGGGTTAATTTGCATACTGTTTTGTATTTCATTTTCAGCAGCAAAATGATTCATGATATTGTTTTGCAAATCGTCGTCTTTCTGGGCGTATATTTAACTGCCAGTCGGGGCCAGAACACAGCTTACCAACCATTAGAGTCAGCAGAGGAGTTCACCATTGATGAAATACAAGAAAGCATCCACGATCTACCATCTCTGTTGGTTATACGCATGGGGTTTAAGGTAAGGATACTTATTTTGTCAATACAAATAATGTACATGCGTCAGATATCGCGAATTGACTAATTGATACTGTTATTGACTTTGATTTTGATATAGTTATTGGTGCCGATATTGATCCTAACACTGATATTAGTATGTGTCTGTGGGCATGATAAGAGAAAGAAGACCCGTTTTTGGGTATGCGTTGGTTGTGTTGGAATGTTTTCCCCGCACAGGGAAATTGTGATTAGTGGCTAGACAATGGCCTTTACATTGTGATAACTGCCATTGAAACATTTGATTAAATATTTGTTGTATGAGTGTGTCTTTGTATACAATGTCCGGAAAGGGGGAGCTATCTGGGTTATCGTAATGCGTTCGCTATTTGAGAAGATAAATTCACAAAGCAGGGCTGCGGTGAGGGACGGAAAACAAGACCCCCCCCCCCCCCCCTTCCCCGCTCTTCCACCTCACGCGTCACGCTTAGATGTAGGGCCCACTTGGACTTCGACATTGGTTGACTGGGGTCTCGGGTAACCATGCAGTATTTCAATGGTTTATCACAGTATACATTTGCCTTTGCAAAAATGCAGAGGTGGACAGTGTCCCTACCCCCCCCCCCCGCCCCCCCGCCATATTTTATCTGTCAAAGTCCATCTGTTTTCAAAATCTTAAAAACAACAGCTCTTATATATCTTATTTTTTCTTATTCTGATTTTTAAAAGTTACATTTTTTGCGTGATTAAATATTGTACAATTCCAAATTGTTTGCAGAAAGAAATATGCAAGTAGTAATCGTTTGAGTGGAGAAATTGAAGGGCATTTGCTGAACGACTTGCCATAATTTTGCAGGGGTCAGTTAGCTTTCGAGAAAGCGAAGACTTCAAGGTGATCGTCAAAGCTCGGACTAATTCTAGTCGAGAGCTTAAACAAGTTGTGAAATATAGTTTCGCAAGAATTAGCACCAACGAAACGCCAGAAAGTATTGCTCTCCTGCAAGTGGTACGTGTATTCTTCTCAAGTCAATCTCTGTTTTGATACGTGTTAAATCAGGTATCAGAGTAATATTATTAAGAAAAAATATGTAAAAAGCGCTTGTCACGTTTTCATTCTATTTATTTGTTATTCTTTTTGGTACGACAACCCTTTTTCCAGACATATGATAGCATGGCGAGCTGTGACAATTTAATGTAGATTTCAAACAAAAGGTATGCACCGTTAGTGGAATTTGATTGAAAATAGTCCATTATTAAAATATTCATACACTTATGAGATTTTACTTGTCATATCATATTGATAGTATTTGTTTGCATTAATTATCACTCTTGACCTACAGTGTGATGACACCCAATCTGCTCATTTGAATGATGTGACGTCAGAAATAGGCGTGGTCGTGGGCGTGTCCACGGGAGTGGTCCTGGTGGCATTGATACTGTTCTCAGTGTGGTGGCACAGGTATAAGGCTGATCAGGGGGAGGACATCGACTCTGCATACGGTATGGCCACTGCCATCTACATTACTTAGTAGATTTCCCGATTCCCCTTTGATTTTACTTTGATGACTATTAAAATGCACGTGAAATTTACTGCTCCAGTTTTATCTTTATCACATGACTGTTTTTTTGTAAAATAGAAACTTTTTGCCCAGAATTTGATAAAAATTAAGTAGTTAGCAATCAATGAAATAAAAATGTTTTTTATTCCCTTATTCACATGTTAGTTCGCATTTTATTGTGACGTAATAGGGTATGAATATACATGTAAGGAAACCTTCCTGTTCGCAATGTTATATCCCCATATATACTTGTATATTAACTCTGTAGACAGTAAATAAATTATTTTTTATTGAAATGAGACAGAAATGGAATTTATTGAGCCAGAATACAACAAAACAGGGACTTTCGGAGTGGAGCTTAAGAAAACTCATTCACCATACTTGCTTAGAAAAGCTCTTCAGCCCAGCGATTCTGTGGTAAGGCATCGGGAACAAAACCGCGCTAATAATTTAAAGACCGTCGTAGACGATAGTGTAGAACAAACTGTTACGTGATAATAAAAGGCCAACAATACATGCACAGTGTAACAGCATGCAAGCTTATCGTGTATTGTAATAAACACTGTAAGTTCCCGCTGAACAATTTATGAACTTCAAATTGGGAATTTAAGTAAATAAATAGTTTGAAATATTGAAATAACATCAAATGTATAACGAGTCATAATATCAAACAAAAGAAGAGACCAAGAGATGAAAATAGAAGATAAGTAACATTTATGAAATAATAATGCTCCTTAAGAAACAAATAAGTAATAAAAAAGTTTTTCGCACTTATTGTAAACTGTCTTATAGAAAACATATGACGTATTTCAGGATTCAGATGTATCCTCTACCACAAGCGACACAGACGCAGGGACAGACACCCAAAAAAGGCGGAAGAAACACGAAACAAAGGCTAAGGCTGACATATTGGATTCTGAATCGAATACTTCTCCAATAAGTGTCAGATCAGCGCGCCTGATTTTTGATAAACCGAACAGAAGTTATGACCACAACGTCAGGGGCCTCGCGTTGCCGTCCACAGAGTACACATTACAGGTGAAGGCAGAAGTTTATACTCCAACCGCGAGGCGGGAACCCAAGGCTCCCTCCCCCTTGGCACTTCACAAGACACACCGACTAAAAACGTCCAAATCTCCCAGCGAAGAAAAAGAGGAAGAAAATGATAATCTCTGCACTTTGGATAAAGATAATGGAATCAAAAATGCATTGATAAGCAGATCAAAGGATAAAATGCTGGGAGTTGACAATCCTGCTATAATTATACATGAGGTTAATGGCGAAGCAGACATTGTGAATGGCATCTCTAAGCCTCAAGACACCAATACCGCTCCTGTAGATACGCTGGAAAAGAACCCTGGCATACTGCCCCATCACTGGAGACAAAAAGAAGAAACAGAACCAAAATCGCCCGCCGTCTCAGAAAGAGTAGCCATTTTCAACAAAGGAGCCGATGTAAAGCAAAAAGGGGGAACGATAGATGCTACTGTGGCGGAAGCAAAAACTCAACGAAGAGGAGGAGGTGGGAAAAAGTAGGTTGTGGCAAATTACAATGGTTTATTGCAAGATTGTTGCATTTTACCCCATGTCTTATAGTCATTTCTTTATGAGTCTTTGTATATCCTTAAAATGCTGCGTTTATGGCAAATTATGGTGCCAGGATACATACTTGTAAGGGCAAAAATAACAGTCCTAACTGAGTTTCAAAAGTAAGTATACTGCCTGATAGTCTAATGTTACTATGAAGGTTTGCAGATATAACATTAACTTATCAATTCTTCCAAGTCTAGGAATACAACCTGTGACCCCTTAAATCTTCCACAGGCAAGTCGTCAGCAACGCTCTCAATGCAACCACTAGACGACAATCATCTGCTAAACAGAAATCTAAAATTAAGCATCTGGTTCATATGTTCTAAATGTACACAATTTTTACTCATTATATCATCCCACATCTTCATTTCAGGTTTCATCCTGCCGCATTAACAATGTTGACAGTCCTTGGTATGATTTTTGCGGAATCCTTCTCTCAGGTGTATTTCGACGTTCTGGTGGACGTTATTATACATGTACCAAAAAATTCAACACTTGGCGCTGCTCACGTCTTTCAGCAACCTGGAAAACCCGTTGATGTCAATGCTTCTCGGTTTCCCAAAATGAAAATCCAAACTTTTAGTAAGTGCTGATTTTTTTTTTTTTTTTTTTGGTACCGCAAACGGATTTAGAGTTTATTAGTGGCCAGGCCTGTGTACACTTGCCTCTCATTTACACCTACAATATGCCGTCTTAGGCGCTGTCAAAGTACTTGTGGTCTGATTTTCAACATTTTCTCCTTGTATTTTCCGTATTTATAGAATCTTTGTCATTTTCCTAGTGATAGTTAAGTTGGCAAGGTACATCAAAAATAAACTTCTTAACAAATTCCAATTTTTTTCTCTAACACGAAAAATTTCTTGGTCTATCATAGAGGGTAAAAGGATGAACATGGTTCACGTATATCACGCGTTAGTCAATGTCATGACGATTGTTCAATTTTGAGTCTTTGACAACATTAGACGTAATATTTTACACATTCCCTTGTTATTACAGCGGTTCATAATCTACACATGATCGTCATTACTGATCCGCCGTGCCAAGGACTGCATTGTGACCATGGTTGCGACTATGCCACCAACAAGTGCGTGTGTCGTGTTGGTTTTCAGTCTTTCAACGACACAAGCTGCCAAGGTACGTTGTAGCAGGATTTATACCAATTGGGAGCTTTTTTTGCTTGGAATTGGTACGGTTATTGGGTTAGTCGCTTGGTTGCTGAACTGGCTGCTTTACTAATGATTAATTTGACTGCTGGTTCAGTTGGTTGCGTATATACGTATATACAGTGTGTAGTCGCTGTTACATCGACCCGGCTGGCATATCAGGAATTTGATGTGTGAATATCGGTGTGAATAGAAAAGGACCTTTCAATATGGTTAACCGGTGATGTTTTTCATAAATTAAACTAAAAATAAAATATTGTTTTTAACAAGCGTTTATCTTTCAGTGCATTAGCTCAAGCAATCCCCATGGAACTTTTACAAGTCATATACCCTACGGATGTTTCCAAATTTGTAAAATATGTATTTGAATATTTCAGAAAATTCCTGAATGCTGAATTTATTATTGATATAAAATAACCGCAACACAGAACTACTAGTACATATCATTAGAATACCATAATAGTATATTTTCATTCTGCAGACATAGATGAGTGTTCCATTGAACATGTCCCACGGGTTTGTCACAAAAATGCCATATGTACCAACACATTTGGTTCCTATTCATGCGCGTGCGCAGACGGGTTCTACGGTGACGGCAGAGATTGCAAGAGTAAGATTAGCATGAAAAATTTTATTTTACGTTTTCGTACAATTTTTGGCAGATATTTAAACTTTTTTATCCGCTTTATTTTGCACAGAGTATATTTTAAAACGAACTTTATATAAGCTTTGTGATAAATAAAGAAGTTGCTTATCAGTGCATCACGTTTAGGGTCCCACATTTATATATAAACATATATTATATTATCAACTATTCAAACAAAGCATTATTCTAAGATTCTTATTAACTTTTTAGATTGCAGTAAACCTTGTCTGCCAGGGGAATTTGAATACAGCCCTTGTAATGGTACTTCACCAAAGATTTGTAAAGGTTAGTCTATGTAGATCCATGCGTTTGGTACCCGGTATCAGCATCAATCTGGGTTTCGATGTATATCAGTTATGCAAAATAACATCTAAGGTGTCATTCACCATGCCAAAACAATGGAAGGTTTAAATCAAGTATGTCTTCACATTTTCAAAACAATTTCAAAACATCCTGCTTAACCAGTAAACGTATTATTTTATTGACCAATTTGTGCTGAAAAAGAACGGAAAACAAGGTTATTACCTACCCTCTACCAGAGCGACTGACAGATTTTTACAGATATTCACAGTCAGCCCAAAATGACCATCTATCTAGCTAGAAACATATCTGTGAATATCTGTAAAAATCTATCAGTCGCCCTGGCAGAGGGTAGTTATTACCAATGTCAGCATCATGTATCCGGATTTTTCAGCGTGTATCACAGTTTGTCCGATGGAGTATTACCTTTCTACGAACTGCACAGCGACTACGAATGCCCGTTGTTCTGGTAGGGTTACATTAATGTCTTGATATTTGTTTTTTTTAGTGGCTTTTAAAGAGGCCTTTGAAAATTGTTTCATTTTTGTACAATACATTGCGTAACTAAGTTTATTATGTTTAAGTTACAGACACATCCCGAATCCGTGTTCACGAATTAATTGAGATTAAAAGCGAACGCATTTGAAAACAATCGGGATTGTTTTTATATAGACAAAACTATAAAGTAACAATAGACACAAATATATATATATATATATATATATATATATATATATATATATATATATATATATATATATATTTTTTTTTTTTTTTTTTTTTTTTTTTTTTT